ATGCGTTGCTCGAGCCTCGAGCAGACCTGGTTACAATGTTGTCGCCTGTGCAAACCAAATGGCGGCGCCGTGGGTGGAAACTATTATAATAAGATCCCCTTCCTACTGTATGTCAGAGGGGGAACGAAATCTGATAACTGACAACATTTTTTAACTGAGTTGGAGGTTAAAAGTCCAGGGGTCAAAAGTAAAAGTCCTGCCATATGTTTGTTCCACCCATTAGGGCTGTAGTCAACCAAAGAAATCCTTAGTCGACCAAAGTCCTGTCCTGCGCAACGATTAGTCGACTAAAAAAAAAAAAAAAAAAAAAGACACGATGTTTTGATTGAACATTTTTGAACAATTGTCATAGCATTTATAAAACAACAACGAAAAAACATCAAAAATACATAAAACTATAATAATAATACAATTCTTTTAAAATTAAGTGATTTTTTTTTAACTGCAAAGTTAGAAGCTCTGTCCTAGGTCTATAGTAGGCTAACAGTCACAATCGCGCACCTGACCACACCACACGCTACACAAAATATAACTGCTATCTGCCACAATGAAAAATCCTAACAAAAGCTCTCGTTTACAGGCTGTAGCCTATATTCTTCTTTACTTGTCTTTCAAAGCTATGGGTTAACTTTTGTCCAGCCGATCTAGGAGTTTTAAAACAAACAGACAAAAAAACCCAAAGAGCCTAAAAAACAATCCTATTATAATAATAATAGGCTGTATTGTAGGACCGCATATAGGTTTATTTTCGTTTTGTTACATTATTTAGGCTATTTTCAAATGCATCAAGTGTACAAATAAAAACAAAAACATATCAAGAAAACACAATCTATTGAGTCAGCATGATAAAGCCGTTAAAGGGACTGCTCACGTCTTTTGCGCGCTCAAGTTCGATTTCAAATGTAGGCGCGCGGTGTGCGCGCTCATGATGGAAGCAACGCGCTCTTTTTTTTCCAAGTGCGTCCACGCCGCATCGAGATAAAAACATATAGTGTATAAAAACATAAAAACCGAAACAAGTAGCATTATAACTGAATGAATACAGCTAAACTACCTATATTCCTTACTGAGCACGAAGCAGCAGCGCAGCCAGCCACAGGGGGGAACCGAGTGTTCTATGTGTGTGCGCTAAACTGTGGCGCTGTTACAAAATAGCCTAAATTAAAGCATTTAAAGTTGGGGATAAACCATAGGCTAATTATATTTAGAATACAGTAATATATAACTGCTTATAAAGGAATAAATATCAAATATCTTTCTATTGGTAAAAAAAAAAAAAAAAAAAAAAATACAACTGGTCGACCAATAAGAATGTCAGTCGACCAAGATGGCATCGACCGATTAGTCGACTAAACGACTAAAGTTGACAGCCCTACCACCCATGAACTCAGCCAACTGATTTCACTAGTTCTATCTCCTGGCTGAAAAACTGTGCTGATTGAAACAAAATACTGAGGAGGACTTTTACTTTCTGAACCTGGACTTTACACCTCTGCTTGAAATCTAAAACTGTAATCTCCTAATCGTTTTGGGTCCACTATCATTTCCTTATTTTTTACAGCATTTACATTAAGATGATTTACATTACACCACCGCACAAAATTATCAATTTCGGACTGATACTCTAATATATCTCGGTCTTTTTCCTAACAGACTTATATTACAGTGTCATCAGAGTATTTGATAATATATTCTTATTTCTACTAGAGAGCCATAATTTGTATATGGAGTGAACAGAATGAATGGGAGAACATACACAACCTTAAGGGGCACCAATACTAATAGATTTGACATCAGAAAGTGTATTGTTTGCTTTAACATATTGAGTACGATTGGTTAAGAAAGAAAATAGCCAGTTAATGATAGAAGGGTTAACATTAATCTTTACAAGCTTACCCAGGAGTAACTGTGGCTGAAGCATATTAAAAGCTGAGCAAAATCTACAAAAAGTAGTCGTGCATAAGCATTGGAGGTTTCTAAATGTTGAACAGTGTTAAAAGCATCAACATTCCCCCCTGCCCTCCTTAAAAGCATGCAACTGAAATGGATCGGATTTACATTACATTTCAATCTGGACACCACACACTTCTCCAGGCATTTAATAATTATAGATGTTATAGCAATTGGTCTAAAGTCATTGTTGTCAACAACACCAGATTTTTTAGGATCAGGTGTAATAATAGTCTTTTTCCATAACAAGGGGTCCTTGATTGTCTAGCGATTGTTGGAAAATTGGACACCTTGCTGGAGTTAACTCTACTGCACACTCCTGCAAAAGATAAGCCGAAATACCATCTGGCCCAGTCGATTTATTAGTGGAAATCTTACGAAAAAGTGAAGTAACCTCTTGAGTTAACAAGTAATCTAGCGTCCGTTACACATTAAACAGTTGGAAAAATCTTTTCACATTCTTTAACAGGATCATTATCAAACCGTTTAAAAAAGTCATTGAACTCATTTGCTTTCTTAAAATCGTCAGTAGTAACGAGATGTTGTTTTTTAGAATCCATGTTAGAAATGGTTCTCAGAGAGTTTCACAGTTTTTTGCTGTTCATAGAGGAAAAGCTTTGTTCAATGTAGTCATTTTTACGTTTTTGAACGTTTTATATTTGTTTGGTTTAATAATTAACATTACATTTGCGAGTATGACTCTCACTCGGCTTGTGAACTAGCATAACTTGCACGCAGCCCCTTCTAAACTGTTCACAAGCTTCTATGGTTTGACTTTGGCTGTCATTTGAAAAATATACAGTGTCTCGTTGTTTGTCCACTGAATTTGACTCTCCGATTCTCCTCCGTGGTCATATGGGAAAGTGAATATTTACAAAGACAACAATAAAACTTTAGTTACTTTACACCTTTCCAACAAAGAAATGGATGGACTTCTTTCATTTTGTTTTTTATTTAGACATTTTCTACCAAATGATGGCTGAAGCAGCAACGCGTGACTGTTTTCACGATAACCAGATCAACATTGTGAACGGAATTCTACACAACTTAAGTAAAACACCAAATGATCATGCAATGGGATAAAATAGCTTCTCTTCCCTGCAAACGATACCATGAAGAATGTGAATATTTGACTAAGTCAAAAACAAAACAAAAGGTATAAGCAGGTATCCATATTAATTTCAGACAGACAGAAAACACCATTAAAGCTGACAACTTTTAAAGTAAAACAAAACGTTTAAAGTTACGTAAACGATGAAAGCTCCTTGTGGTTTCTCGGTTTGATGGATTTGAGCAACCATAAAAGACGCAAAACATAGGCATTTTGAATATGTGATAGTGCTTCATTTGTAGAAATTCGCTCCCTGCCCTCCATCTGCATTTCGCGCCACAGCAGTGACGTCATGTGCAAACAAGCTATAGGTCCCCTTTAATGTATTTTGTATTTTAAAATGTAATTTTTTCCTGTGATGACGAAGCTGAATTTTCAGCATCATTACTCCAGTCTTCAGTGTCACATGATCTCTCAGAAATCATTCTAATATGCTGATTTGCTGCTCTAGAAACATTTCTTAATTATTATCAATGTTGAAAACAGTTGTGCTGCTTAATATTTTTGTGGAAATTTTACATTTTCTCAGGTTTCTTTGATAAATATAAAGCTCAAGAAGAAGTACCTAGTTCCGGCATGAAACTCTAGATGGTGCAGGCTAAGTCTCTGACTCTGATTTGTTAGCGATCACATCATTATCTACATAACACAGCTAATTGGTTGCTGTTGCATCAGCGTCCAATGAGTTGCGGCTCAATATTCAAACAAATATTGGGGTGTTGCTGGTAGCAGTATGCAGCGTGCTTTCAGAAACCCTCCCCTTTCCCCAGCTCCACCTGTATAGATCTGCTATGGGGGTTTAGTCATGTATGTTACATGTGCAGCAGCAGAATATCAATGTATTGGCAGTAGCAAGTCTCTGTACTTGCTCTGCAACAGCAGCGTAGCAGATCTATTCCGCCAATACCAAATACATTAATTGCCATCTCTATCATACCAATCTCCTGAGAGTTGTCATGACAGAACAGCATTTAATTGAAATAGAAATCTTTTGTATAATGTAAATGATACACATTATATACAATTTAATGCATCTTTCCTGAATAAATGTATTCTTTTTGTCCAAAAAATATTTTTGGAACGATAGTGCATATGCTTAAAAAAACCCTTTGCCAAAAGCAAAATAAAAATAAAAGAAGTTCTCTGACGACACAATTTTTCTTCAAGTACGCCAAGTTTTGTTTTAAGAATATTTAGATAATTTTGCTGGAAAACCAGACTTATTCAGAGCATAATATTGCTTCTCTCTTATTGTATTAGATGAAACTGGCAACAAGCCTTTTCATTAAGTCCAGTTAACGTATCAGTGAATCCACAAAAACCCATCTATCCTATTAGGGGTCCAATAGAGGAGAGACAGACACATGAATGTTGAAGAATAAAAATAGTGCAGAGATTTTTTTTTAAGTGAGATAAAATAAAGCACAGTTGATCTTTTTTTTCTTGATCTCTATACATACGCTGTCAGCTGGAGCCGTGGTCAAGAGCTAATCTTATCCTCTTCACTATCTCTCTCTCTCACAGACACACACAGATGAGTCAAGTCCTCCACTATCCCAACAGCCTCATTAGAACAGATTGGTGCTCTCTCAGCCCTGAAATGGAAACTCTACTATACTGCTGTAGAGAAAGATCAGGTTTAGTTCAGAATTCTCTCTCTCTCTCTCTCTCTCCTGCTGTCATTATTATTAGGGGAACGGTAGCAGTTTTACAGACAGTATATAATCTTTTTTTTCACACATTAACACAGAGAGAATGCCCCCTCAATAAACACATTAAATAATGTCTTGATGCAAAAAGGCTTTTTGAAGGATTAAGGGTTTAAAGGACAGAAAACATCATTAACTCAATATTAAAACGACTTGATTGTTAATTGTCAAAGTGGGCTTAAAAGAAAACTATTTTTTAGTCGTTCATGTGTTTTTGTATGTGCTTTAAGGTACATATATGTGCCGTTGGGAGGCTCACGTCATGGTGTGTTCCGGAAGATTGTCTCCACTGCGCTGGCGTTCGGGTTTGTGTGTTTCTGGCATGGTTGCCATGACTACCTGCAGTACTGGGCCCTCCTGAACTGGATCGGGGTCTTGGTGGAGAATGTTCTCGCACTCCTCTTCTCCTCTCGTCCTCTTCATCACACTATTGTGAGTTCACACAAAACCTCTCTTGTTAAGTATCGGCTTTAGATAAAGTTCAGTTATAAGATCACTCAATAAATGCCACATAGCACAGCATAAATAATAACAAGCACTTTTGGTCTGGTCTTAGGTGTGCTGTCTGTCACCTCGGATGCAGAGGCGTGGCCTAGCTCTAATCTCCGCCCTCTCCACGGCTCTTCTGATTCTGTCCAATCTGTTATTTCTGGGCGGGATCCATGTGGGTAGAATCTTCTGGAAGAGGGTGTTTGTCCAAGGTGGGTCATTTAAATGTATGCACTCTCTTACAGATTATCATTTAGAAAAAGAAGTACACTTTAGCATACTTTTGATAAGATTACCACAGAGATAATGTACTTTTCAATAAATGTACTTAAGTGTGAACAGAATGTAATGTTTTTGGACACTTAATTACATGTTATTTACAATCAAATGCAAATGTATTAGTTTAAATATATATCAAAGTGTATCCATTGATTTTCCAACCCGCTTTGTATTGTTACGCTGTCGGCAGTATATGTAAATGAACGATGTTTACTCGTCCACCATACCTGGACAGAGAAATGTATGTTTATTTGTCAGGAAAAAGTCAGCTTTTTGCATCATCAGGCAGATTTTTTTGACAGATTATACTTTTGCGTTTTTGTATCCCCACCTACCGACAGTCAGATTGACAGAGGGTTATAAGCAGTTTTTGTAAGGGTATTGTATTGTATTACAATTAGTGTTGTCACGATACCAAAATTATTGTTTCGCTACCGATACCAAGTCAAGAATTGTGATTTCGATACTTTTTCGATACTTTTCTTGAAAAGGGAGAAACACTCTCAAATATCATTGCTGTGCTTTATTTTAAAACCGGGACAACATTCTAATCATATAACACACTAATAAATGAACATATGAACAGCAGATATATTAAAGGAGCTGTATGTAAGATTGTGGCCAAAATTGGTACTGCAATCACTTTCAAATTACTGTAGAGCTGTGTATCCCCTCCCCCTCCCCCCTGACTCGAGGTTGCCAGATAGGCTGCAGGATCCAGCAGGAACATATCTGCTACAAGGAGCTTTCAACTAGAGCAGAGCTGGCAACCCGGATGCCGAAACACTACTGACTTCGTGATTGGTAGATAGGTGGAGGGTGGGGCTTCAGGCCAAAACACAAGATGACAACATCAACATCAGTTGAGGGCTGCAACTTCACTTTTTAAATGACAATATCGTGGCCGTACTACTGTTGTCAGTAATATAAGTATTTGAAATGAACATGATTTCTTAATGTCTAGAGACACATCAGGGCCATTTTATGATTAATTGAAATACATTTCTTACATACAGCTCCTTTAAACATTTGAACAAAATATGAAATGTCAAAATATAAAAAATAAAGTAGAGCAATGACATTCAAGGTAGGGCTGCACGATATTGGTTAAAAAATTACATTGTTATGTCTCTTGAGTTCAGTGTTGGACAGATCAGTTGTTTTAACCATTCATTAAAGTGAATCGGTTCAAATGAGTCATTAGTTCGCGAATCGGACGTGTCATTAACGGACCACGGCACACGTTGTGTGATTATCACGGCAGTTAGGACATCGCACAAGATTTCATCACAGAAAACATTTCATCACTGGATAGGTTTTTTGTTTTGTTTATTGAAAGTGGTTTATGTCATCTGAATGTGTGGAACGCTTTCAAGAGATAAGGCAACGTTATTTTTAGCACAATTCACAACCAGCGGTAGTTCAGAAAAAAAAACTTCGGGCTTCCGACCTTTTACCATCATGTATTCTCAAAGATATTCAGTCAACTCAATTCATTTATATGAGCGAGGGAGGGAGAGAGAGCAAGACAGTTTTGAAGACGGTGAGAGTGCGCGCGCGCGCGACCGGGGCTTTCACTCTCTCTGCTCGTTCTCTTAGTTAAACAAGCGCAGCAGTCAGTCATCAACATACATCACTGATCACTCATCTACATTCATATTATCTGCAAGTAAAGTTTTTAGAAATATACTTTCAAGATTTACAAGTGCACATGTAATACAATTCAGAACAATTCTTTTAGAAAGACATTCACACACATCATCTGTTAGATATTTGTAACCACTGATGACAAAGTATTTTTAAACTCTGGGAATTTGAACGTTTTTAACCTTTTAACATTTTGTGGGTCACGTTAAGGCAGTAATTCAGAAGGAAAACTGTAATGTAATGATGTGGTACTGCCTGTCATTTCATTCAAAATCAGACACAAATGAGATAAAATTAGCTGATTTTGAAGTGCTCCGAACACATTTTGTCTTGGAGAAGAGCTGTGTCACTGTTTTGTGGTGCATATGAGATGTTTCAAATTATTTCATAAGATTGTTTTTAGGATTGGATTGGTTTATGAATTATTATGCTTTTAATATACAGTAGGGTTTTTAAAGTATGGTCACATTGAAAAATCTGTGATTCAAAATCACATTTAATCCTCTAAACTAGGGGTTCTCAACTCTGCCCCCTCGAAGTCCATTTTCCAGCAGAGTTTTGCTCCTACCATAATCAAGCACATGAACAAGCTAATCAGCTCTTCACCAATACTAAAAAGTAATACAGGCAAGTAATTTTGATTTAAACTCTTCAGAAAAGTGGACCATGAGGGCCAGAGTTGAGAAACAGTTTTAGGATTTTGAAGAAATTGAAATCAAGAAATGTTATGACATAAAATGACACAAAATATGAATTTAGGATTCTGCACTATTCAAATAAGTAAATTTGTGACCTTGATCGTGTCACTCTCTGTATAGATTATCAGATGTTCTTGCTTCCATTTAGGCAAGTGGCTCTCATATCATGCTGGCGAGCATGTTCATCAGATTTGAACCTGTGGAGTTTATGCAGCTACAATGCTGCAGCCGTTGATAATAATTTGTAAAATATGGTTTCAAACTTTTGAATCCCTATGTAAATTCATTTGAAAAGATCTTTGCCTACTGCTTCGGGATCTTGGTAGTATACTTGGGAGCATTTATTGGCAGTTGAAGCACCAGTGGGCATCTGGACATTTATCTTTAAAGAGTTAGGCTATAGAAAGAGAGAGGAATTAAGGTATTTTTCATCTTTACACAGCCGAGTTAAGGTTACTCTAAAGCGGCTCAAAATTCTGTGTAAACACTCAATGCCGTATTAAAAGCAGACTTAAAATATGATGGGTCTGACCCACCTCAGCCCCTAGTATCAAAGGCGACTCGGATACTGTTTTGGTTCAGTGTAAATGAACCGCCCTACGTCATTGTCATTACCAAAAGCACGCCTGACAGCTCAAGCGGCGCGAGAACCAAGAAGCGGGAGACAAAACAGGCCTAGCTCCTTATTGTTTTAGCAAAATTAAAAAAATGTCTACCAGCAATGTACATTGAAGTTAAAGAGTTCTGTACTCACATCGCAAAGCAAACCATCAAAATAACAGCAGAGAGTTGCCGACTCGGCGTTTGTAATCTTCCTTTGAATAGACATCAACGATCTGCTACATTTCTCTCAGATACGGTAAATGCTTAACCCAATCGGCGGCGTCAGTGTGATTGTGCATTGTTATATTTTATTCCAAAAATCATCTCCTTGAGGACGATATTTCACGGTCTGGTGACATCTGCTGTCCTGCCAGAAACGCTAACGCTAGCATCATTGTTGTGCCAAGTTCTCCAAACTCAAAAGGGACTGCTCTTTGAAGAAAAAACTATTTTAATCCCGCGGTTATCTACCCGGTGCAATAATTTAGAATTATTTGTAGCAAATGTCCCAGCTGGAACAATTTTATTAAGAAATAGGAAAAAAAACTATTTGTTAACTAAATTTAAAATTGCGTATTTTTATTTCGAGTTCCAACCGTCTCCATTGACTTTGTATTGCGTGAAGCTGCCTCTTTTCATTTGACTTACAAAAAAACAAAACAATGTCTAAAAGTTGCTTTGTGGCAGAGTGTACACCAAACAAGCTAAAAAACAGAACTAAGTTTTTATAAGCTGTTGTTGACCCCCCAAAAAACAGTTTGAAGACATAAAAGTGGATACAGGCAAATTGAGACAGAGCGCAAAGTGTCATATTACTCTGAGAACTACGCCCACTGGAGGGGAATGTAAACGGCGACAGGGATAGCTTATCTTACAGAAATATAATATAGAAAACTTACTCGGTTACCTAACGTAACCTCTGTTCTCTCTAGATGAGGGAACGAGTATTGCGTAAGTAACTTATGGTACGGGTAAAGTTATCTTTTCTCGAGATCTGAAGCCAAAAATTATCCTTAATTTTTCACACTTTGTCAACGCAGTGCAGCAGACCAAAGCAGGCTAAGGGAGCGTGCTTATTAGCTGCCTCGCAGCAACTGCAGCAGCCTATCCATGAGCCTGGCGTGACGTCACGCCCAATGAGGACACTTCGCGCCCTCCGCGCGTCACAGCCCGCCAAAAGGGGTGTGTCTACGTGTATAAAGGGGAGGCTCAGAGGCTGATTCTCTGGTTTTCTTCTATGAAGCGAGTGAGCTCGTGGCGCGAGCACGGCAGGTTACGCAATACTCGTTCCCTCATCTAGAGAGAACAGAGGTTACGTTAGGTAGCCGAGTAAGTTCTCTTACGAGAGGTTCTCTCGTATTGCGTAAGTAACTTACGCTACGGGAACTCTTTGTCAACGCCGTGCGCGCCAAGCATACGCTGCATACATCCCAGGAGCCCGGGGAGCATACAAGCGAGAACAGGTGGCCAGCAACGCGGGCCAACACATGTAATAATCACTCTTGAACATATAACAGAATACAGAGCGGCGCTGCCGGTCTATATTTGTTTGTAATCAAGGTGGCCAGCAACGCGGGCCAGCACAGTACATAAGCACAAGAATTAGGCAAAACACACAGGGCGAATGACGGTCTATGTGTAGGCATCCAATCCTTTAAGTGCAGCTCAACTAGGAGAGCTAATAAACATATGACGGTAGCCTGCGCATGCATACTGGGCAGATCATACACATCACTTATACTGATAATAGTTTAGCCTGCAACGCGGGAACTTCTAGGTAATAAAACCTCACGAATGTGGAGGGGGAGGCCCAGCCTGCCGCCGTAGAGATATCGTGAATAGAAATCCCACTGGACCATGCCCACGACGAGGCCATACCTCTAGTGGAGTGAGCCCTGATGCCCACTGGGCACTGCAGGTGTTTAGACGCGTATGCTGCGGCAATGGCATCCACTATCCATCTAGACAGACTATGTTTCGAGGTA